GTAACAAGTACTAAATAAATTAACCTTCAATCGATGAACAAGGCATCATAAATATTTTGGAGCACTCTTTAATCTACTCTTTAAACACACGTAAAATTAAAAATGCATGTGATGTATGGTATTCATWTCTAAATCAGAGTTAATCAACAGAAAGGAAAGCAGAATATGTACAAAAAAGGGCAAATATTTCGACGCTTATACAATGGTTTCTTAAGTGACTTATATTTAGACAATGAGATTTTAGTCAAAACTACCAACACAAGACGAACGTTCATGTCAGCAGCAATGGTTTTGGCTGGAATGTATCCGCCAAAAGATTATCAAAAATGGTCGAACTCTGAAACGGTGTGGCAGCCTATTCCTATTTACAGCAATTCGCCAGATCACGGAACAGTATGTATAATCTACAATTATACCAGTGGTTTTCAACCGGTGTGCCGCGGCATACTGGTGTGCCGCGAGCGCTCTTGAAGTGTGCGGCGAAAAATCTATTAATAGAGTTAATTTTGTATTTTCCAGTATTATCATCGATATTCAATGAAAACTTATAACAATCAAATATAAAGGCAGGCTAWTCATTAATCGTAGATACGTATTCACAATAATTAACCCTGTAATAGAGTAGATTATAAATAGTGTACCTATATATGTATAAGTATAATATAAATATATGCTTCACGTAATTTATGAATTGGTGTGCCGCGAAAATTTTGTAGGAGAAAAAGTGTGCTACATTGTTAAAAAGGTTGAAAACCACTGTATTATACTATTATAGTAATACAGGTATTAATTGAATATAATTTACACTTTTAAGATAATGAATTAATTGACTATAGGTCGAATTCCATAGGTGTATGATGTACCTATACTTAAAAACAAATAATTTTCTRGTAGCATCCCCTAAATATTTTTCCCATTTACATCACTGACAGCCTGACAGGCATACCTCATACTGACTAAAAATTCTATTCATGTTTAATGTTTATACTTCATACTTTCATAGTTTCATATCGCACTCACTTCATGAAATGTATGCATTTCAGGAAAATAAGGTTTCATTACATATGTACGRACAATATTTATTTTACCTTTTCATGACAACMAATGAGTAATGCCTAATRTTAGAGTCTTGTTATTTTTATTTKCTATCTCTTTTTTAGAATGCATTTATTAAATTCTRAAATGACTTTATTATAGAGACAGAAATAACAAAAATAATTGCTTTGTAGATGACCTAGTATGATTTATACATTTGAAGACGTTTTGTTGACGGATRTGAAAGGTACTTAATATATTATTGAGCATTAAATTATCAAATTATCGCCTGTATTACCATTTCATATCGAAAAACTCCATGATATTGCTAGTAGATATACACAGTAATAGCATTATCAATAAATTTATTGTACACATTAAATAAGTACATCAGTACAAATATTTTGGAACAAATTAGTATCACTGTATCAGTTTTGTGCGTGCTGTGTAACATACTTGCGACCCCCTAATATTTCTGAATAATTTTTTGGATACTACATTTTCCAAGATTTTTGAAAAATCAAAGGATCTTATAAAATCAGTTAATAGCAAAGAAGACATACAAATACCAATAACCG